TTTATTGCATCAGTGGAAAGACATTTGAAAAAATGCCGGTACACTGAGTCCGTGATTACAGGGCAGAGTTTTTCCCAAACGAGAGAGACACTGAAGTCAAAACAAAAACAACTAAAACGGTTTGGGAAAGGAAACAAACCTCAGGAAGCATCCAGCCTCACTCCAGAAGAGCGAGACACTCTGTTTGAAAGGAAAGAAATGGGTGTAAGCTCACCAAAAGCGTTAATAAACACGCTGTGGTTCAACAATTGCATTCACTTCGGCTTACGAGGTGGCAAAGAACAGAGAGACTTGAGATGGGGAGACATCGTACTAAAATCTGAGCCTTGTGGAAAGGAATATCTAGAGTACTTTACAGAAAGACAGACTAAGACTAGGCCGGGAGACAATCCTTACAACAGAAGAGCGGTAAGGCCACGGATGTACTCAGAGCTAACGTCTCTGCCCGAGCGAAACCCTGTCTTTGTTTACAAGTTTTACAAAKAAAAGCGACCCGTTGAAACTCTCGTKGACGATGCACCATTTTATCTCGCTATTAACCATGTGAATTGCCAACAGCTAGCCTTAGCAGGAACGAAATGGTTTAAGCCACAGCCTATGGGAGTAAATAAGCTTAATTCYCTCATGAAAGATTGTGCCACAGCGGCTGGTATCGGCGAAAACAAGYGAATTACGAACCATAGTGGTCGCAAAACTCTTGTACAAACTCTGGTTGACAAYAACKTCCCACCAACGCAAATTATGCAGCTCACAGGACACAAGAACGTCCAATCTGTGAACAATTACAGCACTATGGGAGAAAAACAGCAGCAAAATATTTCTTCAATTTTGTCTGCCACATCTACCACTGCGTTGCAGCCCTATTATGAGCAAGTTGGAAATTCTACAACGCCAATAGCAACGACAGAAACCGCCAGTATTTCCGCACAACCWCAACGACTCGCATCCCTTTTCCTTGGAAATCATATCACCGGAGGAACATTTAATGTTCATGTTTCTACCTCGTCATCTATGGCTGCTAATACAATGATAGCGGAAAGTCCTAAGCGAAAGAAATATCGTAGGATTTTGGAGAGTGACAGCAGCCAGAGTAGCAACAGCCAGGATTAGTCGTTTCATGACTGTTCACATTTCTGTATTCAATATCACCTACTGCTTTATTATATCAGCTTGTTTTTTATCCATTTCCTAGGTTTTGTAGTGACAACAAAAAAGACACTGAATAGTCTAGAGTTGAACTAGAGTTGATTTTGATTATTCAATAGTTTCCGAGTTTCTGTCGTCTTGAAATTTGAAGTTATCGAAATAAA